GCCCTTCAGGCAGATAGATGCATAAGTAAATATTTATTTAAAAGACAAAAGTTGGTTATATGTTAGACAAGATTGAAAAGAAACTTCCTTTTTGGGGAGAGGCTGCAGATAAATATTTTTCTACCAGGAACCAGAAGAATCAGAAAATAGGAAAAATAATAATAGCAATGGTGGTTCGATCCTGGACAAAAGAAAATAGGAAACCAAGGGACCTCATGTTCTCACCAGTGTCCAAATCAGACCTTGAACAGCCACATTTTACAGGCGAAAGGCTGAGATGGTTACCTCCTTTATGTAAGAAAATGTGCCTCTCCACCCCACATGTGTACAGTTTCTAGAAGAGGGCATTCGGTAATTATAACTGCAGCTTGTAAAAGAGAATTGATTGGTTTAGCATCTATAAACTTTATTTTCTTGAAACCTAAGATATGGCCATTAAATTTTTAGGAGGAGTTTGGCTAGTGGATTAATAATTAAAAGAAGAATATTAGATGAATTCATCTGTTTTCCATTCAATGGTCCTTTTATTTTTGAGGCCACTTCTCTCAAAATGAACAATCATGGTCTATTGCTTCTACAAAAACTAAATATTTTAGTCATTCAACGATAAAATTGCTATTGTCTGTTGATGTTGCTTTCTTTAAAATATGTTCAATGATAGCTAAGTGGTAGAGGGGTTTTTTTGTTTGTTTTTGTTTTGTTTTTAACTGTTTACTCTTAGTAGGTTTAATAAGCATCCTCCAAACATTTTTTTAAAAAGCAAGGTGGTAGGGTTCATTGTGTGTTTACTGTTTGAAATTAAGTACCTCTTTATCACTTAAGCCATAGGTTAAATATTATCGTCATTGAACTCAGTTAAATATTTCCACTTTTAACTGTAAGGCTCAAGTGCCTGGGTATTATAAAAGAAGATATTTGACTCCAAAGGTAACTGCTGCAGTTTGGGGCAGTTGCAAATAGTTTTGAGGGGAGAAAAGGAGTCTTAGGGGGGAAATAAGCATAGTCTCTTAGTTTAATACAGCAGTTGGCAAATGTAGATGCTTAAAAGCTTTGAAAATCCCCAATATAGGCCATTAATGCATTGTAATAAAATATTAAATTAATTCAGGTAAAAGGATTATCCATCAGGGCCCCTAATGTAGTAGAAGTGTGGTTTCCATATGAGTAGTCTCACCACAGAAGTCAAAGACAAAGTCTCACTCTGAATGAACAATTTAATAATCACATTTGACTCTGGATATTTTGTCATAGGCTGTTGCCCGTGCCACTGTGTTAAGACATTGGGAAAACCCCAAGCCCTTAATAACAATCTCGAGCTAGCTGGCTGCCTTAGACGTTTTATGATCATGAAATTGAATCCTCTTTTTGGCAATGGTAATTCATCACATCCACCTCTTTTTTTTCCCCCTTAAAACCACACTGACTTCATTGTTCCAAATAACATAGCTAGGGGTGGTTATTTCTAAATATCCTATGTGAAATTAAGATAGTAACATGGATTTCTTCCATTTTGAACAACAAAAAAGCTTATCACGCTGCTAAAAATGTAATTTTTCTTGACTCTTTCATTCCTTCACTCATATTTTCTGAAAATGAATATAATAAATGAGGAACATTAGCCACTGTGGGGCTTAACATTCTGGTGGCCATTTGGAGAAAATTTCCTGCCCACAGTATATGAGATAAAAGAGGAAAAGGGGTGCCCCAATCTACCTCAACTAGAAATGCCCTGGATATTCTATGAAGTACAAATGTAATATGTTCCACTGGGATAATTTCCTACTCTATCTTTTTATTGCTAAGGGCTAAGATGCATACAGGACCCACTCTAGCAGTTCATGCCTAGGAAATACCTGTTTGGGGGACAAAAGCAATAACTGTGCCATAGTGCTAGTGGTGATTAAGTCAGCTTACAACCCCATAGGAGTTGAAGATATTAATGAAGGCATTGCAACAGTGTTACGCTTATAATGCCTGATTTCTACATTTATTCTGTAAATGAACAGTCCACTAATGAGACTGGGAGTGAGCCCCTTTTCTAATACTAAGAGGGGATAAAATAGATGGGAACAAATGCAGGGAGGTTAGTGTTATATAACCCAAGACTTGGATTTCTGCACTGGTGCTTACTGGCCATTGGATCTCCCATCCAAGTACTAACCAGGCCTGACCCTGCTTAGGTGCGGAGATCAGACGAGATCGGCCATGTTCAGGGTGGTATGGCTGTAGAGAGGATCTTGAAAAGATTATTTCATCTCTCCCAGCCTCAGTTTCCCATACCATCAGTGTAATCATGCCTGCCTTTTAAGGAGAGTCAAAGGGGAGGAGGCATTTGATCTGGGCTTTTAAAGAGTTCATGTAATTTAGATAAGCAGACACAGGCTTCCCATGTAGCAGGAACAGAGAACAACGGTGTCATAGTAGGAATACATGATCCCTTGTGGGGATAACCCAGGCTGTTTGGCCTGAGAGAGGTGTGGTGTAGACAGCAAGGAGCCGTGAGCTTCATGGCCTTCAGCAGTTGGGATCAATTCAGGGGAAGATGAGGACCCACTGAAATGCAGGGGGCCATTCCTCAGTATCAGGAAAAGGTCCTGGAAACAGAAAAGAATAAAAATCAGTAAGGAGACCAATATCTTAGTCAGTTCATGCTGCTATCACAATGCCTGAGACTGAGTAATATATAAACAGTAGAAATCTCACAGTTCTGGAGGCTGGCAAGTCCAGGACTAAGGCACCAGCAGGTTCAGTGTGTGTTGAGGGCCTATTCTCTCTGCTTCCAAAATGGCACCTTGTTGCTGCATCACCCAGAGAGAGCAAACCTTACATCTGCACATGGCAGAAGAGCAAAAAGGGTCCTGAGCTAGTTCTCTCTAGCCCTTTTCTAAGGCACTAATCCGTGCATGAGTGTGGAACCCTCATGACCTACTCCTCAAAAGGCCCCACCACAATGAAGATGAAGTTTCAACACATGAAACTTGGGGGACCCTATTTAGACCATAGCAAGCAATGAAGAGACCATCCAAATTATCCAGGCAGAGAGTAATCACGTTCTAAGGGGGAATGCAAAAGTGAGTGAGAAGTGGATGAGAAAATTCATAGATGGAACTTAAATGGATTTGTCAGTAGTGTAAGAAATACAGTCATGGATGGTTCTGCCAAGATTAGAAAACAGGAAAGCGGGAGGGAACACCAAGAGTCTTGAGTACAGTTTGTGCCTACTGAGTTCACAGAATCAGGTGAGAGCTCGAAGTTCATCTCTCCACCACACTGTTGGAAAGATATAAATTTGAGTGGGAAGGAGAAGTCAAAGCTGAGAAAATACATTTCAAATTCATCCAAAGGTAGAAGATCCTTAGAGTTTCAAGAGTGGGTAGGATTCCCAAAGGGGAGAATTGTAGAAAGAGATGGAAAGAGATATAAGAAGAAAATAACAGGGACAAAGGGAGTGGGGGAAAAGGAGCAAGAAGAGTTATTCAGAGATGTCATGGGGAAGAAGCTCAGTACTGGGACTGGAAAACAGAGGAAACATTTCCAGATGTAGAAGGAAGGTAAGTGATAGTTAACACCACAGAGACATCAAGAACAATATGGCCCCAGGAGAGGCTGAGAGCTCTCTGATTGGGGAATGTTCTTCCCTCTCAAGATGAAAGTGTAAGCATCAATCATTATTCCAGAATATCCTCTCTTTAGTAAAGTAAGTGCTTAACAGTCATAAGCACAAGATTTTATATAAAAGAAATGTCCATGTAATTTATTAAATCAGACATTGGCTGCATTATTAGCCTTTACCTAGGACTCCGTAAGACATGAAAAAGTTAGAGGAAATCTAATGGGGGCCTTTTATCTGTAAGGGAAAGGTCATTGCAAGCATCAAATATTGAATTTTAGAACAGTGCCACAGCTAATAGGGATATATTATAACTCAAATTAGACTTTAAAAGGACTGATTTGCTTGGGATTCCATCATTTAAAATCTCTCACAGTAAAACTGACTTCATGGAAAGTTATTAATCGCATGTATTAATGCTATTCCATCAGATTGTTTTAATAGGTATATTTGAACAGAGTGTAAATTTTTCAGATAATTTTTTTGCCAATTTAACAGAGAATTTGAAGGATGATAGTAAAATGTTATAAATCAAATTTAAATCTTGATTTTATTTTCTTCATTTTCTCCAGCAATAACACTAACCAGTGATGTGTCTGAAATGTTATACACTATAATAAACTCTTGACACGAGTATGATTGGAAAATGAGATATTCTGGTTAATCTGATATTGTCATTAATGGCACAAATGCTCTCTATGGATCTCTAATTTAAAACAATATATAAGACAAAGAAAAACCTGGTAAATCTTGAGTGACATCATAGGAGATTCACAAATCTTGATACCGTCGGTCATTTTTTAAAACAATAATTGCACTTAATACAAGGTTATATTCTAATAAGCTCCTTTTTTCCAGTAAAAATGCATTTTGAGGCAGGGCATAGTGGCTCATACCTGTAATCCTAGCACTCTGGGAGGCCGAGATTGCCAGATCATTTGAGCTCAGGAGTTCGAGACCAGACAGAGCAAGAGTGAGACCCCATCTCTACTAAAAAAAATAGAAATAAATTAGCTAGACAACTAAAAATGTATAGAAAAAAATTATCAGGGCATGGTGGCGCACACCTGTAGTCCTAGCTACTCGGGAGGCTAAGGCAGAAGGATCACTTGAGCCCAGGAGTTTGAGGTTGCTGTGAGCTAGGCTGACACCACGGCACTCACTCTAACCCGGGCAACAGAGTAAGACTCTGTCTCAAAAAAAAAATGCATTTCGGTAATCAAATGTGTGATTTGAGGATTTTCACTAGACTACCTGAACTTCAGATAAATCAGTGATGCAAGGACATGCGTGTAAAAGCAATTGAAGTCATGCTTGACAGTCAGTAAATGGTAGTTGCTGCTGCTATGATTGTTAGAACTCACTAAGGAGACGGTTTGGTTTGGTTTAGATGAGCTGCTTCAGAAAGAGCAAAACTACTCGGATGATGTCTTGGCCAACATGATCAGTGAACCAAGAATCAGTTACGGGAATGATGCCCTCATGCCATCTTTGACTGAAACGAAAACCACCGTGGAGCTTCTTCCCGTGAACGGCGAGTTCAGCCTGGACGAGCTCCAGCCGTGGCATTCCTTTGGGGCCGACTCCGTGCCAGCCAACACAGAAAACGAAGGTAAGAGTCCCAGAGGGGGCAAGATTGTTCTGGTAGCTCTACATATACGCACGTCAGAGAGAGAGAGAGATCTATCTTCTGTTCTCGCGCGGTGACTTTTTCCCTCTGATTGTAGTAATAAAATATTTCATTTCAGTTTTACTTCAAAAAGGAAATAAGAGGAGTATTTTAATGGCCATTATGTGGCCATTAAAATACTATTATATCTGTGTGAATTATTCTTTACCATTTTTCATGCCACAAAGCAAGTAAACCGAAATTTTTTGGACTGGATAACAGCCCCATTGTATAGGTGGTAAAATCACAATGGTGTAACGATTACCCAGAACACTTTCAAGTAAAAGGCCTCTCCTTTCCCAGAGATCCAAGTTTGCATTCTGGGGAGTGTCACCCTTGGAGTCACCAGTCCCATGCAGAGGGGGTGACCCACAATATATTATGCAAGAGGCAATTCTACATATGGAAAATGTGTGGCAGTAGTAAATTTTTCTAATTTTTATTTTCCTATTCTTTCCTTAATATAAAACGATATAATAATAAAAGCAGATACATAAAGAGCACATGCTGTATGCTATATATTATTTTTATGACTGTTTTTCAAATGAGAAAATGGAGGCACCAGGAGACTAAGTTCTTTAGTAGTGATTTTTGGTAGGAATTTTTATTTGTTTGTTTATTTATTATTATTATTTTTATTTTAGCGTAGTATGGGGGAATTTTTTTTAAATGCTTTCTCACTAAAAGATATATTGTTGCTTCTAGAATAAAAGCACAAGCTTCAACTGATGTTTATGAGATAGTGACCTAGAATGCCAGCTTCAGAAAAAACAGATATAGGTAATGAAATCAAGGAAATTACAGCTCACCAGCAGAGAGAGATTTGATAGGGCCTGCATAAATGGACATTTGAGGGACATCAAAATAGTCTTCATTGGCTGCTTATTTGTACATGAAATTTCAGATTGCATTAAATGTGAAAGGCAAAGATAGAGTACCATGTATAAATAAATGCAATTTTCCTTGATATTTAAACAGTTTATGTTTAGAAACTTAAATTTAAGGCAGCTGTCAAAATTAAGGAGCACATTGCTCTACATGTTTTTTTCTGTGATAGTTCAGAGAAGTAAGATTTTTCTGAATAAACAAATTTTGTGCAATAGATGACATACTTTTTCCGAGGGATTTCTTAGCAGAAATATCTGTTTAACAGAGCATCTTTTAGTATGCTTTACCATTTTTACAGGTTCAGAAACATAAAATTACAAATGCACAAACACCTTGATTTCTAGATACTAATAACATGTTTTTCAAGAATACAGCAGGATTTTACCTGCGATTTTCTTTCTTTTGAACAATTTTTGATGGTTGTTTATATTCATCATATACCTGATAAAATGCAATCAGTGCACTTCTCAGACTAAAGCTAAATCCAATATTAGACCTTATGTGCACCGGACAAGTCTCTTTTTAAAAGGATCATTGCAGAAAATCATTATATAGACTATTTTCACAGTGGGAATAATCACCACAAATTGTTTCCTTAATTTGAAAAAGAGTACCTTATAGTAATACCAGCAAATATAAACAGCAATGTTATTGATGATATAATAAAAATTAAAACTTTAGCATTTATGAAAATAATTATTATTCACATAGAGGAAAAAATGTTAGGGACATTTAGTTATCAAAGACCTAAGTAACATCCTTATTAAACTGTATTATTACTAGAGTGCTGGTTGTGTCACTTTTTTATAGTTAGATACATTTTGGCCATTTAAAATCTTCATATAGCCTCTAATGAGAATTTTTTGGGGAAAATGTCCAGTCTTATTTTGTAAATTGAGTGCACACTAGATTTGCTCTTTTCCAAACAGCACACACTGTAGCATTAGCCCTGAGAAACAGTCTATGCACACACACACACACACACACACACACACACACACACACACACATACACACACACACACATACATTCTAAAGCCCTTGGGTATGGCCAAGATATCTTGCCCAGTTGGCCAAAGGCCTTGATTTTGTACTACTGGATCCTTGGTGAAGATGCAGTAATTACATTGCCTAGCCTTCATCAAAAGAGCTTATATTCTTGTTAAAAAAAAAAAAAGATTTTGTTTAAATAAGCAAAATCTTATCTAACAATATTGGAAGGCAATAGTGCTTAAGATCTCAGAGCCTTGAGTAGTGTTTCTCTTCATTATCAGACCCAACATTTTTTTTGTAACTATTTTAAAAAGCCTCCTCGATAACCAATTTGTAAATAAAATTGGCAACGTTTGGGGGGAAATCAATATAATGGACATAATTGATAAAATGTGTTTCAACATGTAAGGGCTCAGGCCCGACAGCTAGTGAAAACAGTGTCATAGTCAGGTGCCTGGCCCCATGTGGGTGTGGCAGAGTCAGAGGCAGGCTGATACAGGGGGCTGGTTTGGTCTAGGTTTTGCAAGCAGTATAAGCATTAGTGATGTCATTTTCCAAATTAAGAACTACAAAAATGCTTTGCATTTATATATAAAATTTCATTAGGTTCTGGGTTCACATTGTCAAAAACACCTGTGTGTCCAGTGGAAAGTTAGAAAACCACATAGGGTACAGGGCAATTTTTAGTTGTTGGGGTTTCCCTGTGCACAGCATCTAACATCTCTGGTACCCCTCCACTAAAAGCCTTTAGGGTCCTCGCTCCCACCCAAGTCTTAGTGACAGCCAAAACTACTTCCACATTCCCCACCATCTTGTAGGGTATTAAGTTACTACCCCACACTCCTAAATGATACAGATGTGAGTTTAAATTCCAGCTCTGCTTTGTGCTTATGAGCAAGTTACTTAGCCTCTCTGGCTATCTGATGGTCTATAAAGTAAGGTTGATAATAATTCTTAACTCAAAGATATGGTATGAGCATTAAATAAGAAGGCATGAAAAAGCTCTTAGCAAAGTGCCTGGAACATGGTAAATGGCCAGTGGTAGCTTTTTTTTTTTTTTTTTTTTTTTTTTAATGGAACCAGGATCATCTTAGAGAGATTTTATCAGCCAGTCTCAAGATGAATCACCATATGGCCCAAATAATGTATCCTTAAAATAATGAATATAACAAGCCACATAATGAGATACAGTCCTAAAGTCATCTCTCTTCTCTCCTCTCCATAAACTTGTTCCTTCTTAGTCCTTCTTTTTATAGACATTTACACACACATAGAACTATTAAAAATATGTAAAATTCTCAAAGGATTTCCTTTCATTGTTCCTGCAGTCCTTATCATCATAGCTTCAAATGCTTACCAAAAAATTTGTTGATCTTCACAATTACAATCAGTCAAGTCCACAGGAATGTCTGATGCCCAAGCATTCTTTTAATTTACATTGAAAAAAAATAAGCATATCACAGTTTGCCAATGGTATAGGCTGTTGAATAGCTACGATTTGCCTTAAGGAATGTTTGGTCTTTGGTTTTCAGATCGATAAAATCTAAAGGAATGGGAAAACTCAAATGAAACTGTTGTTATAGAACTGTTCTCACGGATCACAAAGTGAGACAGTATGTATATTTTGCAGAGTGAAGCTGCCCTCTGGTATATTTTTAATTAGCCATAAAGAGGCAGTGAGGAAGCCAATTTAAATGGTGAAATCAAGGTTAAATAATGTCTTTCATTAAACCTACAACCAGTCCTTTTTAGTCCTCTCTTATCTATATATAAAACTGGTTTCCTGGTGGTTTATTATTACCTAAGGTCTGATGAAAACATTGTACAAGGCAGTACTAGCTTGAGTCTATTACAAGGAACATCAGAACTAACAGACTCAAAAATCCCAGAGTCCCGATCATTCTATTTCTCCTCTTACAAGGAAGGATTTGATTCAAAGCTACTGAGAGCAAGGGAATAACAATTTGTGCTTCAATTTTATTTTAACTCTTTAAGATAATCTATTTCTTATTTTTATACTAAAAAGCCAATGTAAAATGTCTTGAATGCTCTATATTGATAAAGTCACTTTCTGGTTCAGTAAGTAAAGGTCCATTTGGAAAATTAGAAGGTATTTGCAATGGTTTGGGAAATAATGCACTACTTTGTCTTGTCAATGTGTGTTCTTTTTTTTTTTTTTTTTTTTTTGCGGTAATGTCACAATTGCCTTTAAAAGAAAAAAACCTTTTTTTGATATATGCTCCCCAAACTCAAGAACTATTTATTTTTTGAGCATTAATGCATGCTAAATCAGCTTTGAACTGTTAAAGCAGATGACTCTTTAAGTCACTGAAACTATTGTTTGATTTTCCTAAAAAATAGAAAGGGTCTTATTACTGTTCTCAAGTAATACGTACCCATTAAAAAAAGAGAAATTTATAGTAATAATCTCCTCACTCGGAGATAACGAATGATACTATTTTGTGGTAATGACTTTTAGCCTTTCTTCTTTGCACATCTGATGCTTTTCAATGTTCCCCTCAGTAATTGTGGTATAGTGCTTTATTAATGGTAAGTTTCTCTTACATAACTATGTACCTGTGAACCCTGGAAAATCCCTATTTACATGTGTTAAAACTGAGGTTCAGAAACAACGTCGTTTGCCCCAAATCACAAAGAAAATAAGTGGTAGTAGCATTAGCAGTGGACCCTGGGACTACCAGCTCTTCAGCCTGCATTTAAGCCACAGACATAATATCTGCTTCCCCCTAAGTCAAAAATACATTTTCTAATGATTTAACTGTTGATATATGTGATCAGCACCACTCCAAGGTGCTTGTTGGCCCTCCTGCATGTGGTTTGGGGTGTTGTTACCCGCAACTGAAGCACCATTTGGGGTCCTCATCACTGGGAACGTCTGAAAAAGTACAGTAATCCTTCGACTCACTCCATTTTATGAGGAGTAATAAAGTTATTTACTACAGGCTGTTGCAGATGGGAAAAAAGATGAAATATAGAGAAACTAAAACTTCATTGTTGAAATGTATTTGTGAGTTGCAGAAGGAAGTATATCTTCTTCCAATGCACAAACGAGTGTCCTAGAGGGAGTCATCCTCGCAGCATTCATCATTACAGAATATCTAATAGTGGGAGACTTACTAAGTGCAGTTTTATAGTATATGGTAGTTTCTGAAACAGGCTTTAAAAGTTATTTGTTCCTCACTACAATTAGAAGATACCAGATGTTATTATTTCTGTTTTCCATATGGAGAAACAGCCTCAGAACTGGCCACCTGCCCAAGGTCATGGACACGGTGAATGTTGGGGCTGGATTTAGATGCCTCTGCCCTCCTATCTACTCCACCACACCACCAGGCTACGCGAGAAAGGACCGAGCCACTTTTCTCTTTTATGTCACGCAAGTGTCCTCCCAGAAATATTTTCTTATATTTTGAACACTTGGCTTATTGCCACTTCCCCACCCCCGTCCCTGTCAATATGTGGCATCCAAAATCTATTTGGACCTGAATCTCACCTTCCAATGCCTGGCCTGTGTGCATTCGTACACTGGGTGGTTTCACTGAAATTGCCAAAAGCCACCCCATCGAGGGCACCTGGTCTCCATCAACACCTGTGCTTGCTTTTTGTCCCCTTTTACACGTGCCGGGCCTTTCCGAAGGGACTTTTCCTCCTCCCTCAGCTTCATTTGTTCCTTCACCATTTATTAATCTTCAAAGCCTTGCTTCTTTCTCTCTGCCTGGTTTCTTCAAAGACGTACGTAAGTGCAAGGAAATGCTTTCTGAGCATCAGAAGCACTTTGGAAATGCGGGGGTGAGCAGTGGTAAAGGATACAGTCCCGCCCATGCCACTTGCTTTGGGTCAGACCCAGAACACATACAAAGGGAAAATTGTGAGTGCTGACAAATATAAAACAAAGTATCCTCCTTTCACACATTTCAGCTGTATGTCAGCTATCAAATGGAAACCAGCTTTTTGACAAAAAAAAAAAAAGAGAAAGACTTTTGGTTTATCTCTTCTACCCTCAAACGAAGGATTGATTTGATTCGCTAAATGGCAGATTATGTGGTGAAACTTTGCCCTCCCGGTAAATTCGTATTTGCATTTTACCCGGAAATTTAACAGAGTCCTTTTGTAGTTAATTAACTGTAAAATAAGATAAGATTGAACAGTGGTAAAAGGAGGTATCTTTAAGGTTTTCCGCTGGGCAGGGTATAATATATTTTACTTCTAATCAAAAGCCAAGAAACTATCTCTAAACTAGTTCAGAGGAAAATCCCCCCTCCGTGTCTACTCTTCTTTGATGTTGCTGCGTATCCTGGTGAGTGCTTTTATTAGAAAACTAAGGCTCGGGATTGGCACGTCAATAACGATAAGCCTTTTGAAGTGGTGCCCCTCCCGGTCCGTGATGCTTGGGATTAACTCAGCGGTTCTTTTCCAGCTGCTTCTTTTTTGTAACTTGTTTATTGCACATGCTTTTCCCTGCTCTGTGCTCAGGGGCCACGACTTAACCATCTTGATTTGTCTCCTTTGCTTTTCTGTGCCTCTCGCTTCCTGTGCCCAGTCGAGCCTGTTGACGCCCGCCCTGCTGCCGACCGAGGACTGACCACTCGACCAGGTACCGGACCCGCCCGACCTCTCGCCATCTTGCGCTTGAGCTTGAGCAGACGTCGCCTCCTTTCTTCAACATGAGCCTATCTCAGTTGTACAGACGGCAGAATAGAATTCGAAGTGACCCTAGAAACCAAACTTTTTAAAATTGTTCTTTGCCTTTCCTTACACTTCATCTCCCAAGTTGCTAATGATGTGACCTATTTTTTGTTTCTGAGCTTTCCTAGGAAACCTAAAAGAGAGCCCTTCCAACTTTACTGGGATTTTTTTTCTTTTTTCGTTTTTGTTTTTTTTTTTTAAGTGGAGAAGATTATATAGAGCCTGTCCTCAAAAACAGAACCCAGACAGATGCAGACTATCTGGCGGTGACTTGGTTACTGCTGGGAACATCTCTTCTTCCCTTTCTTGTTTGGTGTCCAGATGGGGGCCTTTCTGACTAAGCTGGGCTCAAACTTTAATCAGTTACTGAAGTAGACATGATTTCCTGAAAATACCGGATTTGGTGTATATCCAGAGCCAGAAATACTTACTTTTTCTCTCTTTTGTGGGTTGTATGTATATACTGATTCTCAATGAGTGGCTAAAGTAACACAACAGATGTATATGCATAATTTTGCACATAAGCCCTTTATTTTTTATATTACTTACAAATCCCATTAACACTGAAATAGACACTTCCTTTTTGCAGTTTCCCAAGCCTTAAGAAGAAACACATTTTCACCCTTTGTTCTGTATTTAGCCTGTTCAACTTAGTCTTGTGAATAATAGTGCGGCACAACAGAAGCACGTCCACACCTGGTCTCTACTCCCTGCACAGCCTCACCCCACTGATAGTAGCCAATGTTTTCAGTGAATCAGGAAGAGGAGGGAAGTTATTGAATTGACAGATCATATTCTGGGAAGATCTTACTCCTAAATAGCACATACCTTCCCATATTTATTTTCTTCTTTATTCTCATAATGCCCCCATGCAATAGTCAAGGAACAGGAAATTAACCTTCTTTGAAGATATTAATAACACACAGAGGTCAGCCTTTGCTCCCTGATTCAGATACAGTCAGCAGCAGGGCCGGAAGGAGACCTCGTCTCTCTCGTTGCCAACGCAGGCCCCAGCCATGTCTGCCTCCAGCCACAGTCACTGGTAAAGACTCAGAGTCCACCTTGTGGCATCTTCGTGCCCTCATGCTGTGATGCACAGTGGCAGCAGAGACGGGGGAGTGACACGTCTTGACAGCTGATTCTGTTGATTTTATGCATCTCTGTCTGTAGGCCTTTTCTGGGGAACTTAAATTACAGTGAGTCAGGGACAGTTTCCATTCTCCTAATGTCCTCCTTATTGTCAGTGTCATGTAAGTGAATTTCAAGGAGCCAGCGGTTGACATTCCTATTCTGCTCAGCCAACTGGTGTGGCCTTTGGTCAGTTCAGTTCTAATTGTAACCAAAACCAGCTCAGGTTGGTCATTTGCCTTGGGACTTTTTTTCAAGATGCTCCCCACTTTATTTTTAAAAGAAGACATGCTTTTCATCTCCAAGTATAAAATGTGATTTAGAAGCATTCAACCAATTTTATTAAATTCCTACACTGGCAAGCTGGGCCTATGTGTTCCTTCTGAAATATCCAGGAAGGGGTAACACCACCAGTTGATTTTTTTTATCCTAATCTAACATGAAAAGCACATTTCCATACATTGTCAAACAAAAATAATCTATTTTAAAGGAAGAGCTAGAGAATAGTTAGTGGTATTATACGGGTGGGAGGGAGAAAGTCATGCAAAATCTTTCTTGTAACAATAACAACATTAATTACTTTTGATATTTCACAAAGATCAGTGCACTAAATTCTGTGGAGGGTCAAAAGAAATTAAATGAGAAGCTCCCTACCCTCAGGAGCCTGAAGTATAATAGAAGGAACACTTTGCATATTTGGAAAGATGAGATGGAATTTCGAAGACAAGGAAATACAAAGCAATATAAGTGCCGACAGGAATGTTCTGTGATTTGGGTAAATGGAGCACAACCAGGGCACTTGCTGGAGATGGGCTTCCAGAGAGGCTGTCAAAGATTTGAGGCACCTGCATTGACAGAAAACAAGGGAACAATTGTATATAGATGAGAGGGCAGCCTAGGCCAACCTTCCTTTCTTAAACTATAAAAGGCTTGGGTTGCACAATACGATAGCCACAGATGAGAAGGCATACTCAGATAGGAAGTGAGGAAGATTCTAGTTAAGGTATGAAGGGTTGTGAATAGCGATATTTGCTGCATATGTATTAAGACATGCGTGTGCTCTATATTTTTATGCTTGCAGTAAGCCTATAAAGCACTTGGATGAATACCCCCCCCATGTTCTGTAGCACAGTTTTGGTTCTTTATCATCACATTTTAGAGACCACACACTTAACTCTAACGTGCAGAATTATATCTTTGACTTTGCAAACTTAGAAAGCCCTCCTGGGTTGTCATATGTCATTCAAGTACTGGCATTGTTTTTGAGTAATCACTGTTGTCACTCAGAAACAAGTAGAGAAAGGCTTTTGGTTTTGTTTGCTCCTACCCAGTGCTTTGTAATCATGACTGAGGAAAATGACTTCTCCATGACTTCCCATATCTGAAAAACCAGAAGATTTTAATTTCTAGAATGTAATGTTAAGTAGGGACGACAGTAGTAACGGGTGATTTCTGGGCATAACATCCATTTCGGCTATTCCTCCTGGCTTATTTCCAAAGAAACATAGACTCTTAAGGAATAGTTATACAATCTGACCAGAATAAAAAAGAAAAATACATTAGTAGGCTCTTCACATGGAGTGGAAAGCTACCCGTCCCATTATACTGTATTATTGCCCTTCTCCAATTCAGGTAAAGGAAAACCAGGTCCTTGACCCCAAGCCCAGTAAGAGATGTCATGAAGAACATACCTCCCTTAACCCCCAAATGCATGACAGGGTCTCCCCACTCTTCATGACTAAGAGAAAGAGAGAGCTGGAGTCAGCAGGGCTTAGGATAAAGTCAGCACAACTCAGCAAAGGCCTCTTGTAAGCCTATAAACTAACCCCCCTGCCATTTATTTAAAACTACTCATACCCATCACATTTCATTACATGCAATATTGGCTTATTGGTGATATTTCCCTATCTATGGGCTTACTAATTTTTTTCTTTTAGTGATATTTGAGTAATGTATAAAATATCTTTACTAAATGACTATCCATGCTAAATAGAAATGAACTAGCAAGAGCTCTTTCTGCTGAGAGCCTCTCAAACTATTAAGCTATAAGCATTCATTATTTGTTATCATGCAGGACTTATTCCATGAATTTGGATTTTTTTTTTTTTAACACAAGGTCTCATTCCATTGCCCAAGCTAGAGTACAGTGGCATCATCTCAACTCACTGTGTCCTCAGTCTCCTGGGCTCAAGCAACCCTCCTGCCTCAGCCTCCCGAGTAGCTGCAACTACTGGGTATGGTGGCACACACACCCAATATGTGGTAGTTGCAACTAGCCACCACACTCGGCTAATTTTTCTACTTTTTGTAGATATAGGATCTCACAAAACTCTTGGTCTCAAGTAGTTCTCCCACCTTGGCCTCCCAAAGTGCTAGGATTACAGACATGAGCCACCACGCCTGGCCTGATTTTTTTGTTGTTGTTGTTGGCTTTGGGGGATTTTTTGACTACCAAAAGTATCGTCAGTATCCTTTCAAAAACAGTGTGGGCTTATAAAATTTTGAGAGGAGAGCTCATTCTTTGTTTATTTTTTAGTGTAATTATTTGCCCCCCCCAATCTAAAAAGGGAGACTATTCAAGAGAGTTTTCTTAAAAATCTCAGAAATACAGTTTCAACTGTCACATTGCTAGATCCCAATGATAGAAAAAGGGTGAGCTATAGAGATATGTGTTTATATAAGGATCTCAGATTTTAAAGAGCTTATAGAAAGATAAAAATATACAACCAATGAGAATTAAAAGAATGTTAGCATCATTGCCCTATAAAAATATGGTCAGGAAGGTTATAGGACAAAATGCATTGAAACTTATGAAAAATGTTAATAATTTTAAAGTAAGAAAATAAATAAGAACAGAGAGCTTGAAAATAAATAAGAACAGAGAGCTTTGCAGGTCTCACAGTGGGAAAGGGGGCTGGGGATGGGCATTAGGTCAGTGAGAGGACCAATGTTAAAGAGATCAGAAAGAAAGGGAAACTGTCCCACTTTGATAGTGTCTTTTTTTTCTATATTTGAACTTGTGATAAAAGGAAATTAAAGCCCAAGATAGAGCAATATGAAAAAAGAAAGTACTACCCCTTATGTTAGTATCTATTGCTGTATAACAAATAACCCCAGAAATCAGCAGCTTAAAACAGCAAGCATTAGTTTCTTACAGTGTTTATAGGTCAGGATTTGGGGTGTGGTTTAGCTGGGTGGTTCTGGTGCAGGGTCTTACATGAGGTTGCAATCAAGAGATTGCCCGAGCTGCAGTCATCTGAAGGTTCGATTGGGGCGGGGGAATCTGTTTCCAAGATGACTCACTCACATGCCTATTCACAGGAGACCTCAGTACCTGACTGTCCGACTCCACGAAAGTCTGCTATGTAGCCCCACAACATGGCAGCTGGCTTCCCACACTCCATGTGGTCCAAGAGAGAGAACAAGAAGGATGCCTCAATATCTTTTATAACTTAGTCTCAGAAGTCATACACCATCACTTTTCCCATCTTATGTTCATAGAAGCAAGTCACTACTTCCAGGCCATACCCAAGGGAAGGGGGAATTAAGTTCTCCCTCTTGAAGGGAAGAGCATCAACAAGTTTGGGGATATGTTTTAAAACCACCACATCTCTACCCAAGTCCAAGTCCTTATGACTCAAGACAAATTGCAAGCTAAGAGAACTGGAAGGTGAAACAGAATCTCTCTGTACATAGTTTTTGTGGAACTCTGGAGAAAAGGAGAAGAGCTAGGAAGGTAAGGATAGGAAAATATCGTTCCAAAAAGCAGAAGGGAGAGATGATAACTTCACAATGTTGAAGCCATGTGTACGTTAGCACTGATCATGGGTCTGTTTTCGGATAGATGATTAAATGGAAGCTTTTTAAACAGTTGGACAAGGAAACTGAGCTATGTCACAACCAGTGTGGATTCCCTAAGTTTTGTCAAATTTTCTACACCTTCTCTTTGTGCAGACTCTCCTATTAGACTGGCACATCATGTGCTGTGGACATTGTGCATTTCAGTGTCAGCAAGTTGTATGACAGGTTTCACAGCATCTTATAGACAAGATTGAAAGAATGATTAGGCCAAGAGCAAGAAATTAGTTCCCGTGGGAGCTGAAGGAACTGGGGATGTGTAGCCCAAGAAAGACAAGAATCCACCAGAGACATGTTTCCTCTCCTTAGGTGTCTGCTACCTGTTTAAGGTTATAATGTGAAAGGGAAGGTGAGGCTTGCTCCAAATGGTGGAAGTTACAGGAACACTGATGTTGGCTTAATAGAAAAAAGGTTGTTCTAATAGGCAAATCTACCTGAAAATGGAGGCAATCTGATATATTCCTCTGTGTTCAAGCAGGAGCTGAGAATCTGCCCCTGGGTGAGAACACTGTATAGGAGATGATTATAGAAGACCTTCTTATTCTAAAATTCTGATTTTTGATAATTAAATGTTACAGCATGGAAACTGATATTTGTACTTTTTACATTTTTGTGTTTAAAATGACTTTGCATTTTGTTTTTAAGCTTCAGATTATTACTTGGTTAATAAAATTCATTATAACAATTAATATGAAGAATCACACAGCAATTCATAGAGAAGGGATTAGTAGGTTATAATTTCTGTTAGTCCCCAAAAAGCATTTTATGTATTATGTACTTCAAGCCCTTTATTCAGCAGATGAGCCAATTATAATCTGTATCTATAACTAGAACACTTAACTAAATAAATTATATAATTTTTACAATGCTTCACTGCATAGATACATGAACATAATTTATTTGTAATTGGAGCCAAGCCCCAAAGTAGCAGTTTTGTTCTACCAGGTAATTAATGTTCATTTTTAAAAGCCTTTTGTTATTTTTTCTGAAGTAATGAGTGCACATGGAAAAAGACACATAATAGGCTAAACAATAGCCCCATATTCTAGGAATAAATTTTTGCCAGCCTCCAAACCAGCATTTAACTTCTACTTTTCCCCTTTTCAAAAATTATACCTTGTATTTAAAGGCAGTAGAAGCCTTAAGTTTAGTTTTGTTTAATCTTAAATTTCTTTTTGTTCGAAAATAGGTAGTGGTTTAGGATTTAAATACAGGGTGTCATTTTTCCTGAAGAAAGTCATTAATCAGTGTTCTTCACCCTTCAGGCCTAGAAAGAATTTTTTGGTAGCCTTTTGTCTCATGATATTACTGTTCATAGGTAAAACTGATTGGTTGCCCTCCATACTTTGATTACGGTATTGCAGGTTCTGGGTTGACAAACATCAAGACGGAGGAAATCTCTGAAGTGAAGATGGATGCAGAGTTCCGGCATGATTCGGGATATGAAGTTCATCATCAAAAATTGGTACGTAAAAATAATTTGCCTCTTCCGGCTACTCAGTTTGCCTTGTCAAATGACCTATTAACTCTTGGTTCAGCCTGTGCCAGAAATCAAACTACAGAAAAGATGAAAACAAAAATAAAATGCTTGCCTACAGGATTACCATAAAAACATAAAGAAAATGAAAAGAGGCTCTGTATATAGTTCTTTGTGTCTACAGGTCAGCTAAGCCAGGCAGGATTTTAAGTGGAATTCATTTCAATACAGCAGCCACTTTAACTTCCACTCTATTTTCTGGGGAAATTGGTTTATAATAGGTTTATTTGAAGGAGCAGAGCCTCCAGTAAACACGTGCAAACATGGCTTGGTTTTACGGAACACTATTTTTATAGCCGTTTGCTCAAGTTCACATCTGTAACTGTCTCCCTTTGTGTGTTCGTCTCTCCCTTTCACCCTTCCCTCCCCCACCTCCCATGATTTAAGTTCCCGTGCAAGGATAAATAAGATCATGGGGTAAACAGGACCCTGTGATATTCCCAGTAGTATTATTAATCAAAAAATTGGGGCAAGGAAGACAGAAGCTTACTTTTCAGATGAAATCACTTTTTTTCTGCCCAGTGTCAGAATTGGAATAAGTCAAAAAGCAACCATCTCCTTTGCAGGCAGCTCCAGTAGTTATATAAAATCATTTACCAAAAAAAGCTTAGAAATTCAGATAAATCAAATCCCGGATTATGATAGAGTTCCTTGCATCTTATCAGTAAGCGCAGTCAGGGGGTTAAATGAATAAAGAAGACAGTTTTATCTCACATTTGGTAATGAGCAAATGCTAATAAAATTCTCATAGCAATAATATTTGAGAAATACTCTCACTTCTTTTGTTTTTTTGTTTGTGTGTGTGTTTCAAGCAGAAAATATCTTTCTAAGGTTCATAAATAAAAGTCAATAAATCCTAGTATTAATATCCAAAAGAAATGCCTTAAAAATATTATTGATGCCTCACTTCACTCTAAATAATTGAAGCAAATTAAAAACTGACTTGGGATTTGGATTTGCATTTTTAACTCCTGTAGGGTTTTTGTAAAAAGACATTTAGCTTTTTGAAGCATGGTTTTTCATTGGTGAGATAATCCAGTATCAATTATTGTAAAATCAGGAGTACCTTTGATTGGGTTAGTGCTGAAGAGTTTTTAAAAAACTGGAGGAACTGCTGAAGAGTTGGGAGTTGGTGGGGCAGAAAGCTAGAGATTAATGTGCAGAGTTGCATTTCTGGTGCCTGTGTCATATAAACCCATCTCCACAATTGCACTAACTCCCGTAATGTGACAGTGACTAATGGCAGCAGCAGCAATTAGGAGAATTAGCTCCCTCTACTGAACTAGTTGATAAGATAATGTACTATCATTAGTGCAATGAATATTACAAAATTACAGTATTTTCTTAAAGACACAGGCATATGTCCGGACTTGCATTTATTCCTGATTATCTCACCCTAGTATCATTAGCTAAATAATGATTTGCTTTTTATAAAAATGTTGAGCTAGCATATTTGTTTAGTAAGGGGAATAATTATGAACGGTTTCTAATTTTCTTGCGGATATACCATGAATAATACCCATTTAGAAATTTGCTCTGTTTGCTATATCTTATATTGCTTTTTTGCACTGCTAGAATGTTTGTTTTAGCTATGAGAATTGGTCATTTTACTATCTCGAGGCTATAGTAAAAGAATTATTTAGGAAGCTACAGGCATACCTCAGAGATGACAAGAAACCATGATAAAGTGAATATCACAATAAAGCAAGTTGCACAAATTTTTTTATTTCCCAGTTTATATAAAAGTTATATTTATACAGCAGTCTATTAAGCATACAGTAGCATTATATCTAAAATAGCAATGTACATACTTTAATTTAAAAATATTTTATTGCTAAAAAATTCTAAGGATTACCTGAGCTCAGTGAGTCCTATTCTCTTTGCCGGTGGAGGGTCTTGCCTTGATGTTGCCTGCTGACTGACCAGGATGGTGATTACTGAAGGTTTGGGGTGACTGTAGCAATTTTTGGGAATAAGACAGCAATGAAATTTGCTCCATTGATTGACTTCTCCTTTCATGAAAGATTTCTCTATAGCATATGAGGCTGTTTGATGGCATTTTACCCAGAGTAGAACTTCTTTGAATACTTGAGTCAGTCCTCTCAAACCCAGCCACTGCTTCAGCAACTGAGTTTACGATACATTCTAAATCCTATGTGATCATCTCCACAATATTCACAGTATCTTCACCAGAAGTAGATTCCATCTAAAGAAACCACTTTCTTTGCTCACCTGTCCAAGCAGCTCCTCATCCATTCAGATTTTACCATAAGGTTGCAGCAGTTCAGTCCCATCTTCAGGCTCCATATCTAATTTTAGTTCTCTTACTATTTCCACCACATCGTCAGCTTTTGATATAAAATGAGAGGCATGCAACTTTCTTCCTTTCACTTGAACACCAGAAGCCATTGTCGAGTTATTAACTGGCCTAATTTTAATATTCTTGTGTCTCAGTGATCGGGAGGAAAGGGAGAGAGACAGGAGCAGCTGGTTGGTGGAGCAGTCAGAACTCACACAACATGTATCGATTGAGTTCACTGTTTTATATGGGTGTGTTTCATGGCACCACAAAACAATTAAAATGATCACATCAAAGATCATTGATCACAGATCACCATAACAGATATAATAATAAAGCTTGAAATATTATGAGAATTACAAAAATGTGATATAGACTTGAAGTGAGCACGTACTGTTTTATAAACAGTTATGAAGGAATGTAGTGCCATAAATATAGCATACTAAATACATTCCTTCTTTACAGTGTTCGCCAAATTCTTTTTTTGTTTAAGTCAAATAAACAGCTAGAATAAAGCAACATTTTAAATTTTGGCTTCTGGACACAGTAGTAAGAAAGCATGAGTTAAGAATGACTTAAAATTCTAGTTGCCTATACTTCTCTTTGAAATAATATTATGCTTTAAAAAGCATTATGCTGCTCAAGGTTAATTAGAGTTCTACTGAATTACTGTAGCTAGAAGTAGATAACAGGAGGTCTTTCTTCTTTTGTTTAACTCCTTTGCTTCAGAATGCTTATTCCAATGTGTTAAAAATGTCCCTCCGTGGAAATTAGGACATCTGCAGGTTTGGAAAGCACTTGAGGCACAGTCACTTAGAGTCATGTAGCAGGTCTCCCAGTTTTAAACCTGCCATGACTGGGAAAATGCTGACCTCCTTTCATCATCATGATCCATGCCCTTCTAGCATTTGATATATCCAAGAGCTACCTTCACACTGCTCACCAAATGTTCCACCTGTCAAAGGGTTTCAGGTTTCCGCAGACTTCTGTTTTGACATGTGAGGGGAAAGTAGACTTCTTCTAACTGGAGAAGCCACGTGTTATACATCATTCTATAGACGGTGATTGTCATTCTTAAGAAGTAGAAAATGTGATTTTTTTTTTTCAAGTAAGCACCAAATACATGACCAGCCAACTCAAATTTACAGCGAAAGATTGAGTTAGGGCAGAGAATATTCTGAAACTTTTCACATACCTCATCCAGATGTCTCCTACAATGACAGCCCTTTTTCTTGATTTGTTTTCAAGGTGTTCTTTGCAGAAGATGTGGGCTCAAACAAAGGTGCAATCATTGGACTCATGGTGGGCGGCGTTGTCATAGCAACAGTGATTGTCATCACCTTGGTGATGCTGAAGAAGAAACAGTACACATCCATCCATCATGGGGTGGTGGAGGTAGGTAAACTTGGCTACATGTTTGCAAGTGGGAATTAAAGGAAGACTAACCGTAAGGGAAATTATGCTTAGCATAAGGCTGAGAATTATCTAAATATCTCTTCTTTTCGAAAAAAAAATGATTTCTCCATGATGTTCAAGTTACAGTTGTTCTTTCCTTGCTTTGGTTTTCATTCATTCTAATTTACTGTGAATGTTATGATCAAGCCATTGAGATTGTGTGTCGTTATCCTAACTTACAATTTGTATTGAAGTTATGAAAAGAATATAAATGTTAATGCATGGCATAAAAAATTATGATGACCCTTACAAACACTTTTTTTAAAAAGCAATAAAAACAGTATCAGAAGTTAGGAATAAAAAACAGAAGTGGAAGGTTATTTTTTCCCAAAAAAACCTAAACACATTTATTCCTGGATTTCTTTTGTCTTAAATAGTCTGGCCTCTCAGTAAAACCAGGTAGTAGGCACAGTCACTTAGAGTCATGCATCAGATAGTAGTAAAACTAGGTAGTAGTAAATGATATTGATTTTCAGTACAGACTCAAGTCAAGAAATCACATTGTACCAAACAGCTCAGCAAAACATGCATGATTGTTGTTTAATATGTTCTTCAACCTCTTACCCTGAACTTCCACCTGGAATATATTAGTTTCAAGGTGTTAGAAGGAAGGATATTTACAAATAAGTTCTTTTTATGCCTTTAAAATGCTGTTTTGTGGGGAGAAAATAAAAATCTCACAATACATGCAACTTATTAGGAAACTGTCTTTAACTGAGAGTGTGAATTGATAACATTTTTGAGGGTTATAGAACTATGAGAACTGAAAGCGATCTCAATGATCGATCAAATTGATCTTCTCATTTTGTACCTGGGGAGACTGAGGCCAAAACAGAAATGTTTGCCCAATGTCAAACTAAGTAGGGTCAAGGTCAGAGTTCACATTTCTCCACACACTACCCATTGCTTTTTCTATCAGAGAAAAGTCCAGATATTTCCAGGGCGGAAATCATTTAAATATAAATTTGTGGCAAAGCCAGGAATCTCATTTTATTTAGCATTTAAATGCCCATAGACTATTTGATTACAGGAGCTGCTGATGGAAATTGGTTTTGAGTCTTATTTGCCTACTGGTGTGTATATGCTAAAGAGCAGTGTGATAAATAATACCCAGGAAACAACAGGTAGCAGGATAGAGAAGAACTGAACTGAGTGGTTCACTAACTAGAGTGTGAGCAAATACAAAAAAATCAATGAGCACATCATCAAGTTTGGAGCATTGCTTTTTTTTTGTGGTAGCACACTAACCTTGTGCCCCTTAAAATAGTGTAAGATGTATTTTCATTTTCATTAATGTCAGTTTAATTCCATATTTGGGCAAGTAAAAAGGTTTTCATACTTGAGTAACTTAAAAGCCCCTTTTAATTTCTTTAATATAATTGTATCTATTAATGGCCTTGAACTGATGAATCTGCCCATGAAGCAGCTGCCTGTCTGCAGAATTTCTATCAGTTAAAGTGCCTGTGCTTGATGCCAAAGGCCAAGGAGCCCATCTAGGGCTGTCATAACATAGACCTACAGACTGGGTGGATTAAGCAACAGAAATGTATTCCCTCACAGTTCTGGAGGCTAGAAGTCGGAGATCAGGGTGTCAGTGGGATTGGTTTCCTCTGAGGCCTCTCCCTGTGGCTTGCAGAGTGCTGTGTGCCCGTGGCCTTCCCTCTGTGTTTTACTGTGTCCTGGTTTCTCCTTATAGGGACACTAGTCATATCGGATTAGGATGCACCCTGATGACCTCATTTAACATTAATTACCTCTTCGACCCTATCATCAAACACAGTCACATTCTGGGGTACTGACAGGTTAGGGCTTCAACGTTGGAATTTGAGGGGGACACAATTCATCCCATAACAGAGCCCAGTGATGTGATAGAAAAGCAAGACCTCTACCAGGGGATTATCTGCCTATGTGTGAGACTTGCCAGGTACTTTTCTAAAGGGACACATCCCAAGGTCCTACCCCAGACCTAGGGAAACAGAAGTCCCAAATAGGAGGCTGGGAATCTGAGTGTTGAAAATTTCTACAACTAAATGAGATGTGCACCCATTTGAGAATGATGGACGTGTAGTATTAAACCTCCTTCTTTTAGTTCTCTGAGCAAACCTCAAGGAGTAGAAAATGGTATCTCTTGTCTCCCAGATAACTAGTTGCCTTTTAAGTGTTCTTCCAGTTGCCTGAGTTAAATCTTTCTTTTTGGTCAGTTACCAAGAAATGTCTCCTTGGACTTGGAATGTCAGAGGAGAAGAAAGTGATGCTTTGACCCAGATTCTGAAAAAATAAAATTAATTTTTAAGCCAGGAGTTATCGTTGGCACGGGCAAAATTTGGGAAAAGGACAGTGGTTCGGCTCTTTTTATACACACGCATTTTGCTGTCCACTGGAGAGCAACTCGAGACCTTTCTAGATTGAGTGCCCCACCTTGTTTTGTGTTTCATTTTGTTTATTTCGTCTCACCTCCTTCTTCCTTAAAGAAGGATGTTGTCAAGAGCCTGGAAACCGTCCCCTTTTCCTTTCAAGGCTTTTGTGTCTGTCCATTCTGTAACCCACCGTTTGCTCAGCTCCATGTCAAGCCTGCACAGCAGTGTTCGAATAGAATTTCATGTAAGGTCCTGTTCCCCTTTCCTGTCTTCAAAAGGATACAATCTAGCTGGGGTGGTAGAATGTGGACACCAGAGCTGTGTGCCAGCCCCAGCATGTTCTATGGCGGGAGAGAGCGCTGTGGTGTCTGAGAGCACCATTTCTCTCCATGTCCCAGTCTGCACCGAATGGAAAGGATCCTTCTGCAAACAACTTTTGCCTGCCTTGAAACATCCTCTGCCTACCCTCTCTCACTCAAGTGCATGGAGATACCTTCCTCTCCAGCTCCGGTTAACCTTCTTCATGAATGAGTAACTTCACGTTACTAAGAACAAAAATGAGTAAATGAATATTTCCAGTTGGACTGGCCTCAATCGCTCAGGACAGAATCTCATCAGTGTATGAAGAAGTCATGATGGAAGCATTAGTCTCCAGGAAATCTCTCATTTTTATAGCAAAAGTTTCCTGCAGAAGATCACAGAGATAGGAACCCTAGAGAAAAAAAATAATGTAGAAATGAAAATGAGCCTAGTGCAGTGGTGCGTCACTCATTGGTGGGGATGCATTCTGAGAAATGCATCATTAGGCAATTTTATTACCTAATATGCAAACATGCTTTGGTTATCTGATCTGTCTTTGCTTATTTGGTCCACCTCCATGACCCAAAGTGGAGCATCTTAGGGTCCAGGGTTCTGTGGTTTGGCCTCAGTGTCACATAAAAAGGGACATCTGTCAGTACACATCCTGCTGGTTACTAGACATAAGTATTTAAATGTTCGTCCTCCAAGTAAATACACCAGAGGTGATATAATGGGGAGACCTAGAAACTAAAGGCACCCAAATAGAATTTTATCTCCACAATGTGATAGTTGAGCTATAAATTCTTCTGGACATAGTGAAGGACTAAATGATGCCAAAGAATCAAGTTCAGGGAGAAAGGAGTAGGCAGGGAGGAGCGGGGTGCATAAGGCCAAGAGATTTCAGAAGTTCTACTCAAAGGAACTTTAGGACAAGGCAGATCTGGCTGTTTGGGCTCAGCTCTTTCCAGGGTGTCGTCTGCAGATGCCAGTGGCAGCTGCGGTGCAGCGCAGGGGACCTTGGGTCTCTCAGGAAGACACAGTGCCCTGCACCGAGAGCTAAACAAGGACCTCAGGTCAGTTACTGCTGCCGTCTGATCCATGCAGTCAGGGAGAGACTATTTAGAGGTGGTATGCATGTGTTTTCATCTCAGCAAGTGACAGATGTTCCTGCCTGGTGGGAGGATGGAGATTCTGTCCCTGACTTCGTCGCTTTATCATTTCCTTCCAGACCAAGCAAGCGCCACTGGCTGCAGCCTACCCTAACTCTGCCTTACGGGGAATGGTATCTCAGTGCTCATGCAGAGCCCGGGTGTGCACGGGGCCATACAGGGCTGGCCTTCGTTCGCATGGTGGCGAACATGTCACTGCAGTAGCCTAGCCATGAGAAGGACATCGATGAGCCTGCTGCAGAGGAAGGTTGCCCTTACCTGGTGCTCTTCCTTGAGTGAAAGCTTTATCCATGGACAGGAGTACTCAGTTTTTCACTTCTAACTTTCAGGGGGTTGGAGATTAAAAGACCAAATCCAAACTCCTTGGATGCCAAGGAGTTTGTAAAGATAATCCCTTCTCCTACAGCTCCTGAGCCCCGGGGTCTGAGGCCACGCTGCCCCATGGCAGGAATGGCACAGTGTAGCTTCCCCTTCAAAAGCAAACGGTACCGAGGATTCGCAAGTAGAACAGAGGCTAAGAAAAAAACGGGAAAGCTAGAAGCCTGGAGTGCACACCATCCTCCAAGCCTCGCACCTCTGGCAGGGCTCTCTTAAGTATTGGGCTTTGGAGTTTGAAGAGAAGAAGGAAAAAAAAAACTATCAAATTGCTAGGTGTTCCCCTGCCCTTAATGAATGCAGATGAGTGTTGACAGCCCCTATGGAGGTCAAGGTACCTCCTGGAGGAGATAAAAGCATAATATTCCAACTAACAGGCAGCATTATGGTTTTTTTCTACACTCAGTTTGTGCTTGATGTCCTGAGCGACATAATTTTATTTTTTAACCCCAGCGTTCTTTGAATTCTCGCTTATGAAGTGGCTACGGAGCGAAAAAGATGCCCACGTTCAAATGGCATACTGCTGCAGACAGGCTGTTTCCTGGCAAGCGGATGTGGAGAGTGAATGAAATCTCCCATCATTGGTGCTAATCTTTAATGACGGTGTTTCAACTCCCAAGCCTGTGGCTAATCACACAACCGCAGATTAAAGCCAGGTGACCTCATTTGTTGACAACTGTGCAGATCAAAGGAGAGAGGAAGGGATGGGGAAAACATCTGTGAATTACTCCCATAAGGACAGTGATGCTGAGCCTCCGTTTGAGCAGTGTCCTCTGAGTACTGGTTAGAGCTTGTTGGTGGCATTGTTCTAAGAGGAAATGCCCAGGCCTGTCTTAGGAACAACCTGAGGAGGCGGCTGCAGGAGAACGCAGGCAGACCTGACAAGGTGGCAGATGGAAGGGCTTCACAGCGGCATGCCGTCTTGTCCACGAATGGGAACTTAAGAATCGGGACATGTAATGGAGGGAACATTCTGTCCCAAGAGACGAGACGGCTGCACGTCTCCCTATTCCAGCTGCCTTGAAATCGGCCAGGGTCATAATTTTACGTCATGCCCAGGCTAAAAAGAGTCAATCCACCCGTGAAGTGGGGTCGTACAGACTGAACGTGGGGAAGCTGATTATTTAATACATCAACAGATCTTTTAGTCTGATTACTCATTAGCCGTGTGGTCTATTCATGTCATATCCAGTTCCACCCCTAGACCTGGTGTCAGTCCTGATACCACGTGCTCGCTGGTGTTTTTCCTTCACTGGGTTCAGGGTCGACGCTGTGTGGGGTCAGAACCCTTCCAGATTGGCAGTGTCAGGGGAAAAGGCCGCGTAAGGGGCCAAATGTCACTTGGCAGCACTCAACAATGGAGAACAGGCCTGCAGTGTTCTCCTAGAAATGATGTGGACAGCCCAATTGGATTGTACACAGAATAGGAAATATCCCTTTGAAGGAAAATCTTCTGTACGGTGCAGCTTAACTTTTCTGTGCAAAACATACTCCTTCTGATTACATTTGTGTTTATTCTTGTCATCTTCCCATGGTTTTGCAGAAGAGAAATTTTAAAAGACAAAAACTAAACTTTGTATTCGTTCAGTAAAGTACCTCCTCTCTTCTATGCACTGGGAGAGGTATAACAAATATATTAGAAACAAGAACAGCCCACTCTAGCCCAAGCAAGAGAGTGACACTCTGTCTCAAAAAAAAAAAAAAAGGAAAAAAAAGAACAGCCACTGACCCACATTACAAGGGGTAAGTACCCTGCCAGATTGGCAGAAAATAAATGCCCCACATAGCTCTGTGTAACCCTGATATGGGGAGGGAGAAGTTTATAATTACTGGCCTGACCTTAGAGTTAAACCATCATATTAACAGAGAGGATCTTTTAAACCTTTAGCTGAACATACTTCTATAGTATCTTAATGCTCAGCTTAACACACACTCACACATACATACACACACACACACACACACACATATATATATTCTAGATATTTTTCTTTTCCTATGCCAAATATAACCCCTTTGGTATACATATAACATTATTTTAACTCAATGATTCTCAGACCTTTCTTTAACATTTTAAGACACATAATGTGTAAACTGATGTAAACAGGGACAGATTTAAATGAGCATGGGAATAAATTCAGCAGTCCAGGAAGTTGCATATTTTTCTGCATAGATCGAGTCATCCAAGATACAGTCTACTTTGCTGAATCTCTCTCTCCACTATACTCCTACTACCATTTGCAAGTAAAACAGGCTTCCTTCGAGGCTGTTTGTCCTATATTAAGCCCACAGAGAAGAAATTATCCAGTTTCTGTTGGGTTTGGGGAATAAAAGCCACCAATGAGCTCTTGGCAACAAGCCTGAGCCCGCGCGGCATGGTTTTCAGCGCCACCTGGTGGCCGGATGGAGCATCTTTGCAACTGGTGGGCAAAAGGCGTTGTGCTCCCAGATGTCCAAGAGAAAGAGGAGAAAATCCTGTGTGCTCCACAGGCAAAGAAGAGTCCTATATGCTCTTTACCTTTTTACTGCATCTACATGTGCACTCTTAAGGATTTTTTTTTTTTTTTACTCAGTTCTCTTCCTTGCTTTTCAGGTGGACGCCGCCGTGACCCCAGAGGAGCGCCACCTATCCAAGATGCAGCAGAACGGCTACGAAAACCCAACCTACAAGTTCTTCGAGCAGATGCAGAACTAGACCCCCCCGCCACAGCAGCCTCTGAAGTTGGACAGCAGAACCATTGCTTCACTACCCATCGGTGTTCGTTTATAGAATAACGTGGAAAGAAACAAACCCGTTTTATTATTTACTCATTACCGCCTTTTGACAGCTGTGCTGTAACACAAGTAGATGCCTGAACTTGAATTAATACACAAATCAGTAATGTATTCTCTCTCTCTCTCTCTTCACATTTTGGTCTCTACACTACATTATTAATGGGTTTTGTGTACTGTAAAGAATTTAGCTGTATCAAACTAGTGCATGAATAGATTCTCTCCTGATTATTTATCACATAGCCCCTTAGCCAGTTGTATATTATTCTTGTGGTTTGTGACCCAATTAAGTCCTACTTGAAATATGCTTTAAGAATCGATGGGGGATGCTTCATGTGAACGTGGGAGTTTAGCTGCTTCTCTTGCCTAAGTATTCTTTTCCTGATCACTATGCATTTTAAAGTTAAACATTTTTAAGTATTCCAAATGCTTTAGAGGATTTCTTTTTCCATGATTGCATTTTATTGTACAGATTGCTGCTTCTGCTATATTTGTGATATAGGAATTAAGAGGACACACATTTGTTTCTTTGTGCCTGTTTTATGTGCACACATTAGGCATTGAGAATTTGAACTTTTTTTGTCCACATATCTTTGGATCTTTGATAAAGAATCCCTGTTCCTTGTAAGCACTTTTACGGGTGGGAGGGGGGAACGCTCTGCTGGTCTTAAATTACCAAGAAATTCTCCCAAAAAATTTTCTGCAGAATGATTGTACAGAATCATTGCTTATGACATGATAGCTTTCTACACTGTATTACATAAATAAATTAAATAAAATAACCCTGGGCAAGACTTTTCTTTGAAGGATAACTATGGACATCAAGTAGTCTTAAGTAATTTTGGGTGTGGGGCAAAAGAGGCAGATTGAATTTCCTTTAACTGGTCTCCAACTTTATTTATGATATCAAAAGAAGATGAAAATGGAAGGGACAAATAAGGGAATGGGGAAAGGCATGTCTGGACAAACACTTCTTTAAGATTTGTCTTCAATTTGTATAAAATGGTGTTTTCATGTAAATAAATACATTCTTGGAGGAGTGCCATTGTGCTGACGTGAATGATTCCATGGTCACAATCTTAGGTATTTAGTGATCTAAAGACTAGTAAGAAATCCTGTGTTAAGTATCCACACCTATCGTGGATGAACCTGAATTTGAATTAATTCTTAGCTGCAAGTCTGAGTAGGACATTGGGGATTTTATTTACCAGCATCTCCCAGTGCTGCTAAAAGATTTCATAGACCTAATTAACAGTTTCGACGTGGACCAAAATATTGTGCTGCCATATCTTGGTCCTCAAGTTTGTCTCAATGAGAGACAAAAGAAAAAAGTTCCAGGGAAATGAAAATTGAGACCAGCTGATAAACAGTTATCTTTACAGCAGGGTTTCTTAACTTGGGCACTATTAACATTTTGTAGGGAATAATTCCTTGTTGTGGGGGGCTGTCCTGAGTATTGTCAGCTCTTTACTTAGTAACATCTAACCACCAGCAATCAAAAGTGTATCCAGACATTGCCAAACGTCCCTCGGGGTGGGGGGAAGTCACCCCCGTTTGAAAACCACTGCTCTATAGTTTAAAATGTTGTCATATAAGCCGGGCGCGGTGGCTCACGCCTGTAATCCTAGCTCTCTGGGAGGCTGAGGCGGGCGGATTGCTCGAGGTCAGGAGTTCGAAACCAGCCTGAGCAAGAGCGAGACCCCGTCTCTATTATAAATACAAAGAAATTAATTGACCAACTAATATATATAGAAAAAATTAGCCGGGCATGGTGGCGCATGCCTGTAGTCCCAGCTACTTGGGGAGGCTGAGGCAGCAGGATTGCTTGAGCCCAGGAGTTTGAGGTTGCTGTGAGCTAGGCTGACGCCATGGCACTCACTCTAGCCTGGGCAATATAAGCGAGACTCTGTCTCAAAAAAAAAAAAAATGTTGTCATATGTACATAATTTTTAATTAGGGAAGCCTATCTATTTTGTTAATAGTTCAGGCTGCTGTAACAGAATACCATGGACTGGGTGGCTTAACCACTTCAGTACCAGCGTCAACTATGGTCAATAGCCACAGATGAACTCGCCGCACAGCGACTTGAGCCGACAGCCGTGATATGAAGGCGCTCAGCCGAGCGTCAACTTTAGCATTAATAACAAAACTTGACTTTTCTAATTGTTCACTTATCAAAATACAATTGTGAACATTTAAAAATAACGTAATGAAAACATATATGTATATGTTACCTATTCTGATTGACATGACAAGTAAAGCTGCCTGTAAAGTAAAACAAACTTTCAAGTGCTTTAAAACTTTCCTCATCACACAAGAGCAAAACAGCTTCGTCATCAATGCACAGCACAAGCCATCGTGCGGACTATGAGTGCCGGCTGTGGACAAGGTTTCATGGCCAGTGAGTGTCATACTGAAGTGGTTAAACAACAAATATTAATTTCTCGCAGTTCTGGAGGTTGAAAGTACAGGATCAAGTCCTCTTCCTGGTTCACAGATGGCTGCCCCCTCTCTGTGTCTTCACAGGAAGGAGAGAAAAAGCTCCCTTCCCCTCATGTGCCCTCAGGACCTAATCTAACCCTGATTACCTCCCGAAGTTCCCACGTCCACATACTATCACTGGGGATTAGGGTTTCAACACAGGAATTTAGGGGGGACACAAACATTCAGTTCACAGCAATATCTGCTCTTCCAAAGGTCTGAAAACACATTGACCCTGTTTTTGCTGTGTTGCGCTTGGTCTCAGGTGAACACGATAATCAGCCCCATGCACGTTTGTTTCAGATTGCAACTTTTTAAGCTAAAACACTAAGCCAGAAAATTAATCAAAATTATTTGATCATGTCACTCTGCAGTATGAACAAACTCATTTAAAACTCGTCTAAGTGTGTCATATTTTCATGGGAATAAAATGGTCATATCCCCTGCCCTGTTAGGGACTATTAGACATAACTGCTACACGAAAATATGTACATATGACAGTTTATATGTATAAGCTACAGCTCCATTTTGCCTGACCCAAAGAGAAGTAGCTAGCTAGTTTGGGGTGGGGGTGGTGGGGATTAACCCTAATGTAAGAGTACTTTTTGTTTTTTGGAGACAGAATCTCACTGCTGCCCTGGGTAAAGTGCAATGGCATCATCATATCTTACTGCCACCTCAAACTCCTGGGCTCAAGTGATCCTCCTGCCTCAGTCTTGTGAGTAGCTGCAACTACTGGTGCACACCAACAACCCTGGCTAATTTTTCTATATTTAGTAGAAACGGTCTTGAACTCTTGTTCTTGCTCAGGCTGATCTTGAACTCCTGAACTCAAGCAATCCTCCCATCTTGGCCTCCCAGAGTGCTAGGATTGCAAACGTGAGCCACCATGTCCGGCAACAGTACATTTCTAATGACATCAATGAAATGAAACCTAACTTTCTCATGCATGGCACTGTATGAGAGAGACTTCACTCCCAGGACAACCTTAAGTTGCAGTAATCACAAGCTTCAGCTAATGAAAAAAGCTTGAAAGCTAAATATATAGATATAGATATAAACATAGATACATATTAGATGTATATACATGTCTTAGAATTATGAAAAGATTATGCTGTATAATCTTGACTTTTAAATTGAAGTACATTAATAGGGTTCTCCAGATGGTCTGAGTATTAATAAATAGGTAATTCACACAAAACTGAAGTGTTGCCACATAGAATTATAATAGTAGTGTCCCAGGCCAAACATCAATGAGACTTGGGGGGACTCATGAGTGGCTAATCTGATGGGTAAGGAATGGCATCGCAGCCATTTTTATTTATCTTATTAAGAGTAATGTTGGATAGTCTTTCATATGCTCAAGGGCCATGTTACAGCTCTAAATTTTCTGATTTTGTTTTGGGCTTGAAGACTACTTTGGCATCAGGATTGCAATGCCTGCTGTCTTACTGTTGGCATTTGCCTGGTAAATCTTCATTCACCCCTTTATTTTTAGCTTTTTCAGGGGCTGCATTTTAAGTGTGTCTCGTGTACAGCACACAGTTGGGTTTTTGCTATATGAGCCAATTTGAAAATCTTTTAATAGGCAAGTTAGGTCCATCTAGTTTTATTGATATAACTGCTAAGGTTGCTCTCAATTCTGTCATATCTTACATTATAATTGATGAGTGTATTATATTTTCTGTATCTTTCTATGACGGGAGGTCCTCAGTGGTATAAAGGAAGCTTTGTATTTTTATTGTAGTGGTTCCTTTTATACTAATACTTTTTGTAGCAGTCTTAGTCCCATTTTTTTCTTTCTCAACCTGTTCCTATCTTTTCTAACTGATCCTGAATCTCACGTATTGTCTATACAACAGTCACAGTCTACTTCCCTCTTTTTCCCTTCTCCCATCTTTTCAGCTGCATTTGATCTACTTTGTCCATATATAATGCTTACATCCTTTATCAACCTATGATCCAACCTTTATTTTAGTCTTAGCTCTACAATTAAATATGTGAAATGCTTTCTGTCAGCCCTTTTGTTCCCAGAAATCTTGTTGGCTAGGTGAAACTCACCCTCCAATTCATCCCTCAGAAAGTGCACATGTGTCTAGTATTCCTGGAATTCCACCACGTTCAAAACTGATTTTCTATGACCTTGAAACTTGAAGGGCAGCTTGTTTTTCCTTAGTTTTCTTTAAAATGGTGTTCCACTGTGTCCTCGCTTTGCATGTTATTTTTGAGGCCAATCCAATGATCTCTTCTTTGTAAATTATTATTATTTTTTGCCTGAAGGCTCTGAGGATTTTTTTTTAATCTTTAATAATTCTACAAACCTTGTTTCAAAGCTGATAATTTGTAGTCAATTTTCCTAGATAACCTTCTGGGTCTTTTCGATGTGTAGATTCAGTTTTTCTTTTATCTCTGGAACTTTTTCTTGGATTAGAGTTTTAAATATTCTAATTTTTTTCCATTATTTTTTCTTCTTCTCAGTTACACCACTAATTGGAGTATTTGGCCTGTTTTGCCACTTCCATTTCAACCTCCTTCTCTCTGATCCTTTCTGTTATCTTTGTCTCATTTTCCTTCTCGTGGTTGTTTTCCTTCTTTTACTCAGCATCCTTCATTAAGTTTTTATTTGAACCCAATCTCTTTTGGGTGCTTTATAATCTGTTCTTTATTGCCGATAGGCTTTTCTTCTGTTTTCCTGAGTTTCATCAGCTCTCATTTCATGGCCTCCTAGTTTCTGTTGGTTTCTCTACCTAGTTTTTATATTTCTGATTCAGCATCTTTTCCATATCAACAGATGCATGTCGGAGAATATTGAATTAATATTGAGTATCGTGTTAGAATTTTTGTCAATGTCATGGTTGTTCTGTAGAGAAGACCATAGCTGTCTATGGTCATACCGCCCTGAAGGTACCCGATCTCTTCTGATCTCAGAAACTAAGCAGGGTCAGGCCTGGTTAGCACTTGGATGGGAGAAGACCACAGCAGAGAAACTGAATGATAACTTCTGACTTTTAGCTTTGGAAGTGGCCCACTTGTTCTTGTTCCTGTTCATTCCATGGGCAGATGCCTCATAGTGAGCAGATTCTTCTGTCACTTGAGCTCTTTTCTGCACAGTTTCTTTCATGCATGATGTTGGTGGGGAAGGAAAAAGAGAAAAAGAGTCCTTAGATCTTGCTCCTGTTTTCTGCAGGATCCTTAATTTTGTTCTTTTATTTCCTCTTTTCCTGCAATGCCTGTCTCCCAGGAGTACCTCCTCCTCCTCTCCAAGTAACTGATGCTCCTCCCGGGAGCTCAGCTTCACGTCCACCCACTGGTCTGCACACTTATAGGCCCGAACCTGGAGCCAGGGCTGTGGGCCGCTCAGTGCCCATCAGTGTTCATTCTGGTTGTAAATAATGTTTCACTTTCTCTTTGGGGGCAGCCTTGACTTTTTTTTCTAAGTCCTCTGCTCCCCTCCCAATCTTTGGGTGACTCTTCTCCCCTGATTTCTGCACCCACTGGTTTGTGGCAGCCACTGCAAGCCTGTGGTGAGCACTCTGTTAGAAGTTTTGTTTCCCCTCTA